AACAGCCAAGGAACCACCCCACTTCCACAACAACCAATCCTGGCTCAGTCTCCTCCAGGTGCTTACCATACTAGGCCTGTTCCTAAGGCACTACCCATGCAGATCTAGATCTGTGTCTTGGTGGCTAGTGGATCAATAAAGACAGGGAACAGAACAAAAGAGGTACCTGGTATCACCTGGGGGGGGGGGCACACAACCAGAAAGAGGCAACCTGTTAGAGGACAAGAGCAGGGTGAAAAAGAGCCCTGGTTGGGCAGGAGATGCCATTCTCCATTGTGGCCTTCCTGAGCAAGCAGACAGTTGGGGAAAGCCTTCCAAGTAGAGGGAAGATTGAAGCCAAGGCTCAGGTTTGAAGTGAATGTGGGGGGGCTCCAGGGAGGCAGATGTGGCCAAAAGGATACAGATGAATATAGAAGCTCAAACTAAGAGGCCAACAGGCCTAAAAAACCCAAAAAGAATAACTTTAGGTAACATAGGCAAGGAATTTCCAGGTACCAGAGATAAATGAGACCCTTCCAAGAGCTATATGGTTAGGGTAAAGGCTCTCTTGTATCATAGTGCCAGGCAACAGGCAGGCCAACGACCTTCTGGCAGCTCCCGACAAGGCTTTGGCATGATACAGGCAGCCCAAGGTGCACTGTGCATTCATATGGGCCAAGGAACCTGAGAGAGCCTTGCTTTCACATGCTGTGTCCACTCAATACCTAAGAGGGATTATTCCCCCTTCCCCCATAGTTGTAGGATCAATACTTCCTGTGAATGACCCAACACAGTCCAAGAACAGGTTTCAGGTTCAAACCTGTGACTTTGGACACAGCATGTGCACACACTGAACCTCACACCAGGAGGCAGCCACAAGGAGGTACTCTAGACGAGAGGCTAAGACTCCTGAATAGAAATGCCTCCAGCCATAGCTCTCCTCACCTAGATGTCTGTGTGGTTTCAGCTCCCACAGCTATGTACAAACACAGGCACGGCAGGGCACACAGACCCTGAACCATGTGGGCACTATCTACCCAGCCCAACCGCAGTTCACAGAAGGACCACCCACCCAGAACACAGTCAGGCTGAACACCTTCCCAAGCTGTATCCCAAGATAAACCTACAGGTCTAGTCTGCTGCTCAGCCAATCTCAAAATTCACAGTGCAGGCTGGTGGCTGTCAGCTAGGCTGACAAGTTTTGGGTTACTGTTTTGTTTTGGTTTGTTTTTTCCCTTTCTAAGACAAAGTCTCTCTACAAAGCCCTGGCTGTCTTAAGAACTCAGAGATCAACCTGTCTCTACTTCTAGAGTTCTGGGATTAAAGGTGTGCACCAAACACCATGCCTATGCCTGGTGGTGGACAGTTTCTTATGTTAAGCACAGCTCTGTACAGTGTGGTTTTATGAATATATTTTGTGAATTATAAGTCACATTACTGACCAGAGAATGCAGAAACACAAGAGTTAGAGAAAAGAAGTCATGGGCACCACAACACACAACATTTGGGGGAATTTTCTTTTTCACTTTTGTCCCCAGTACAGTTCACATGCACAGGAGTGAGGAACAACAACCCCTCCCTATGTAGACTGCATAACTCTATACCAAGCTGTTTCCACTGTGGGGAGCCTCCCTCAACTCCATGTAGGTGACAGCCTGTATCGAGCCGTGTCTCTTCTGGGAATTCCCCTCTGCCCTTTGTAGGTGATATAGACATCATATCTATATGTGATCCATCGTCACTGTGATGAACAACTACCAGCCACTGTAAATGACACTATGTGCCCAGTTGTGCCTTCTGTGATGAACACTCCCTTTCCTTGTGTAGCTAGCATACCTCTCTATGGCCACTATGAGGAACCCTCTATGTGCAGGTGACATAGTTGTTACTTGTTTGTTGCATCTCCATTGTGAGCAAACACCACCTCCCTTCATGTGTAGGGTATATCTGTTCCTGACTATTTCCCCAGTCAGAGGCTCCAGAAAACAGCAGACACCCATGGAATGTGGCACTGGAGCTGAAGCACTCACCTTCTTAAAGAGCTTGACTTTCCAATCACCTCAATCAGCTTGCTACTTAAAACAAATTAGTAAAAATCACATGACATGGAACCACAGGTGGTTTCTGCTAGGAGATGCTAGTAAAAATGTTCTCTGGCCCCAGAGTCTTAGCCGTAGGGCTAGAAAGTGCTTGTCTACCTGAGGCTGGATACAGGGCTCAGCCTGCCTCCTGGTAATACAGGTACCAGCACAACTTGTTCAGTGACCTGAGGCACTTGTGTTGGGTGTACCTAAAACAGGTCCTCACCCTTTCACTGCTGGGTGTGGGAGTACAGTTCCCCGTCACCTTTGTTGGTACACCAAAAGAATTGTCACAAGAAAGATGGACAAGACCTACTTTTCCTAAATGTCCAAAATCCCATGCTTCTATGGACCCCTGTTCTTCATTCTCCAACCTGCATACCCTAAATTCCAGCATGAGACTTAGTCTAAATCTGTGGATCAGTAAGTGCCACTCCATGCCCTCTCGCCAACAGCCACTTCCATGGCATTCGGGGAAGCACCTACTGTAACCACAGACTGAAAGGAGTCAAGGGCTACATCCCCTACAAGACAAAGGAAGATGTACAGAGAGATACCTGAGGCAGCCCGGGTATGGGGGGCCTACAAAGGCACCCTCAAATGAGGTGATGGGACATTCTTCCATCATCTCAAATCATTCACTTCAACTCAACTGCCTTTGGGATTATGCAGGCTTCTCTGACACTCAGGGTTATGACATGTAGGGATCCTAAGGAACATACTGTTGAGACAAGCTCTGCCTCTGGGCTGGAGTCCTGTTAACCTGAGAATGTAGCTGGCCATCTCCCCCAACAGGAGAGGCTGCAGAGCCACATACATTCCGGACCACTCAGACCCCAGTCTGGTGTGCCTTGGATTTCTCATCTGTAAAAGTGGCCAAACCTGCTTAAAGGGTCATTTGAAGGGTTACATGAATTCATGTCTGTAAAGACAACTGGCAGAGTGAACTAGTTATCACTGGGATGAGATGGGATTATAAATTACCTGATCCCAGGAAGAAAACTTAACAGTTTACCAGTAAATGAGACCCAGAAAAACTCTTCTAGAGGAGATCGAGATAGTGTGATCTTCCCAGAAACCAAGTACTTCCCAAGGCCAAGCTCAGAAGGTAAGAAGTGAGGCTGCCAGGAGGGTACCAAGTTTTTGTACAGGTGTAAGGAGAGGCAGGACAATCTTTCAGTGACCTGGGGGTAAGCTGGTATATGTGGTCTAGAAGAGGTGGGGGAAGGCCAGAGACTACAACCACAGCCACCACAGGCAGAACGCTTAAATACAAATGGGCTGGTCTCATGACAGTGTGCTGTGACCTTAAGGCAGTGACTCTGGGCTTCCCGAAAGGCCAGCCCACTCTTCACTCCCCCTGCATAAGCACTCACCAGACACGCCCCACTATGTTGAGTCTTGGTTGCTCTGTTCTGGATTGGGAACCCATAGGCACAATCCTCCCACTGACAAGTTAGAGGGGCAGAATCCCAGGGATACCAATCAGTCTCCAAAGTATGGGAAAAGATGCGACCAAAAGGGACGATGAAGGGACATTAAAAAAATGTCCCTACTTCAGATGAGATCTTAAATTGACAGCTGGGTCAAGCTGTCACAGCACCAAAGAGTACACAGGCAGATAGAGCACTTAAAGTGAGGTTGCAAAGCCGTCTAAGACCCAAAAGAGGCCCATGTGATAGAGGAGAAATGGGGGGAGAGGCCAAATGGATGGACTGTAGGCTCTTTGAGTTCTTTCTGGGCCTGGCAGCAGACACAGGTGTATCAGGATGGAAGATGAGATTACATATCCGAAGCATGTAGTACCATGGCTGCAATGTAGGGGCTTTAGCATAGTGTCTGACTGTGTCACTATCACCACCAAGGCAGAAAACCCCAAACCATCCTGTACATTAGCACCCAACAATACAACTACACCCCATCAAATCACCTTAGCTTGGGATCCCTGACTTGGGCCCAGAAGTCATCTCACGCTGTCCAGAAGACTGCCGAGCTAAGCACAAGCCATGACAGGGCCCTACGTTCATTCACAGATGTCTCAGACAAACCCATCCCAGGCTTACTTACAGTAGCCATCACTGTCTGACCCTCAGCTCTCTACAGACCCGGCACACCCCAGAATTGGGATATGAACTTGGTGAGAACTCCCTTTAGAGGCCTGCAATGACAAACTCCCCTTTCCCAAAGCTTTGCCTGAGACTGGAGAATCGCAGATTGTCAGTCAGGACACAAAAGTGAGAAGAGTTAATACATACAGAATGATCCCCTGGGACCACAGCCCAGCAGATGAGATGTGGTTCCCAAAGTGCTCACCTAGAGGAAGATCTCTGAATTCCTAAGGGCTAATAGGGCCTGTGAAGGTTCTCCTGGTGCCCTGAAGGCTGGACCAGCATTTCCAACTACGTGAGTTCCAGAGACACACGCGCACACAGTGGCTACCCACTCGCCCACCCACTCACTCACTGACTGGCCATTTCTCTTACAGTGTCTCACTTCCTTCTCTACTAACATGAGTTCAGGTAGAGAGGATACTGATTAGCAAATACTGTACATGGTAACTCGGCCAGACAGGTGGTATTTTTAGTAAACCTATTACCTCTATCCATGCAATAATCAGTCATCACCGAGAAGGAGTTGCCAGTTGACTCCCTGTCCCCTCCAAACAACCCTTAAGAGAGCACTGAACAGGAAGAATCCGCTTTATTGTCGCTGCCTCTCTAAGACCCCAAACTGCCCAATTCCTAAGCCCCCAAACTGCCCAATTCCTCAGCTGGTCCTGGACACAGCGATTACTTGGCAACAAGTCCCAGCCGCTGCAAAGATGGCTTGGGCGACGTGGTTCAAGTCCTCCCACACACCCCTCACTCCAGGTCCTCTTCCTGGCAGGCGGCATGCGGATAGGTTTTCTTGGTCCCCGGTCCGGCCTTCGCGCCCACCTACCTCCAGGGCCTCCAGGGTGCTGAAGCTGGCTATGGCGAAGCCGTCAATAACCTCC